ACAAATTCAAAAATTTAAAAAATCAAAAAACAACAAAAAATCGGAAAAAATTTTGTTTTTGTTTTGCATCATTTTTTCATTTTTCCATTTTATTTTCTTTTCTTATCTTTTCTTATCTTTTCTTTTCTTTTCACAAAATGAAGAATTAAAAAAAATTTCCATTTAATTTTATTTATATTTTTTTATTTAAAAAAAAAGTGGAATAAAAATATTAATATGTTTATATAAATAAATAATATAATAATAATTTATATATAATAATAAAATTAAATTTAAAATATATTTAATATAAATATTTATTAATAAATATTAAATTAAAATTATTTAATTTAATTAATATAAATTAATAAAAAATATATTAAAAAATAAAAATTTAAAAATAATTTAAATAAATAATACATATTTTAAAATTTAAAATTAATTAAAAAAAATAACTTATTAATAAATTATTAATAACTTATAAATAAATTATAAATAAATTATATTAAATTTTATTTATATTTTTTTATTTAAAAAAAAAGTGGAATAAAAATATTAATATATTTATATAAATAAATAATATAATAATAATTTATATATAATAATAAAATTAAATTTAAAATATATTTAATAGAAATATTTATTAATAAATATTAAATTAAAAATTATTTAATTTAATTAATATAAATTAATAAAAATATATTAAAAAAATAAAAATTTAAAAATAATTTAAAATAAATAATACATATTTTAAAATTTAAAATTAATTAAAAAAAATAAATTTATTAATAAATTATTAATAAATTATTAATAAATTATAAATAAATTATAATTAAATTTTATTTATATTTTTTATTTAAAAAAAAAGTGGAATAAAAATATTAATATAATTATATAAATAAATAATATAATAATAATTAATATATAATAATAAAATTAAATTTAAAAATATATTTAATATAAATATTTATTAATAAATATTAAATTAAAATTATTAAATTTTAATTAATATAAATTAATAAAAATATATTAAAAATAAAAATATTTAAATAATTTAAAATAAATAATACATATTTTTAAAATTTAAAATTAATTAAAAATATAATTTATAAATAAATTATTAATAACTTATAAAATAAATTATAAATAAATTATATTAAATTTTATTTATATTTTCTTATTAAAAAAAAGTGGAATAAAAATATTAATATGTTTATATAAATAAATAATATAATAATAATTAATATATAATAATAAAATTAAATTTAATATATATTTAATATAAATATTTATTAATAAATATTAATTTAAAATTATTAAATTTTATTAATATAAATTAATAAAAATATATTAAAAATAAAAATATTTAAAATAATTTAAATAAATAATACATATTTTAAAATTTAAAATTAATTAAAAAAATATAAATTATTAATAAATTATAAATAAATTATAAATAAATTATAAATAAATTATATTAAATTTTATTGATATTTTTTATTTAAAAAAAAGTGGAATAAAAATATTAATATATTTATATAAATAAATAATATAATAATAATTAATATATAATAATAAAATTAAATTTAAAATATATTTAATATAAATATTTATTAATAAATATTAATTTAAAATTATTTAATTTAATTAATATAAATTAATAAAAATATATTAAAAAATAAAAATATTTAAATAATTTAAATAAATAATACATATTTTAAAATTTAAAATTAATTAAAAAAAATAAATTATTAATAACTTATAAATAAATTATAAATAAATTATAAATAAATTATATTTAATTTTATTTATATTTTCTTATTAAAAAAAAAGTGGAATAAAAATATTAATATGTTTATATAAATAAATAAAATAATAATAATTAATATATAATAATAAAATTAAATTTAAAATATATTTAATATAAATATTTATTAATAAATATTAATTTAAAATTATTTAATTTTATTAATATAAATTAATAAAAAATATATTAAAAAATAAAAATATAAAAATAATTTAAATAAATAATACATATTTTAAAATTTAAAATTAATTAAAAAAAATAAATTTATTAAATTAAATTTAAGACGGTATGGCCGAGTGGTTAAGGTGGTTGACTGCTAATCAATTTCCCTCTGGGAGCGCGAGTTCGAATCTCGTTGCCGTCATTTAATTTTTTTTTTATTTGTTTTTATTTTATTTTTATTTTTATTTTTTTTAAATTAAATTTAAATTAAAATAAAAGTTAAAAAGAATTTATTATTTTGTTTATTAATCTTGTGTAAGAAAAAGAAAAAGAAAAAGAAAATTGTTTTCTTTTTTGTGTTTTGTTTTTTGTAAAAAAAGAAATTAAAAGTTGGACTCAAAAAAAAAGGAACGAATGAAAGAAAACAAGAAAACAACTGAAATATAAATTTATAAAATAATTATCAATAAATTATAAATAAATTATAAATAAATTATATTAAATTTTATTGATATTTTCTTAATTAAAAAAAAAGTGGAATAAAAATATTAATATAATTATATAAATAAATAATATAATAATAATTAATTTATAATAATAAAATTAAATTTAAAATATATTTAATATAAATATTTATTAATAAATATTAATTTAAAATTATTAAATTTAATTAATATAAATTAATAAAAATATATTAAAAATAAAAATTTAAAAATAATTTAAATAAATAATATATATTTTAAAATTTAAAATTAATTAAAAATATAATTTATTAATAAATTATTAATAAATTATAAATAAATTATAAATAAATTATATTAAATTTTTATTGATATTTTTTATTTAAAAAAAAAGTGGAATAAAAATATTAATATAATTATATAAATAAATAATATAATAATAATTAATATATAATAATAAAATTAAATTTAAAATATATTTAATAGAAATATTTATTAATAAATATTAAATTAAAATTATTTAATTTAATTAATATAAAATTAATAAAAAAATATATTAAAAATGAAAATTTAAAAATAATTTAAAATAAATAATACATATTTTAAAATTTAAAATTAATTAAAAAAAATAAATTATTAATAAATTATTAATAACTTATAAATAAATTATAAATAAATTATATTTAATTTTATTTATATTTTCTTATTTAAAAAAAAAAGTGGAATAAAAATATTAATATGTTTATATAAATAAATAAAATAATAATAATTAATATATAATAATAAAATTAAATTTAAAAATATATTTAATAAAAATATTTATTAATAAATATTAAATTAAAATTATTTAATTTAATTAATATAAATTAATAAAAATATATTAAAAATAAAAATATAAAAATAATTTAAATAAATAATACATATTTTAAAATTTAAAATTAATTAAAAAAAATAAATTTATTAATAAATTATTAATAAATTATAAATAAATTATAAATAAATTATATTAAATTTTTATTGATATTTTCTTATTAAAAAAAAAAGTGGAATAAAAATATTAATATATTTATATAAATAAATAAAATAATAATAATTAATATATAATAATAAAAATTAAATTTAAAATATATTTAATATAAATATTTATTAATAAATATTAATTTAAAATTATTAAATTTAATTAATATAAATTATTAAAAAAATATATTAAAAATAAAAATTTAAAAATAATTTAAATAAATAATACATATTTTAAAATTTAAAATTAATTAAAAATAAATTTATTAATAAATTATAAAATAAATTATAAATAAATTATAAATAAATTATATTTAATTTTATTTATATTTTTTATTTAAAAAAAAAGTGGAATAAAAATATTAATATAATTATATAAATAAATAATATAATAATAATTAATATATAATAATAAAATTAAATTTAAAATATATTTAATATAAATATTTATTAATAAATATTAAATTAAAATTATTTAATTTAATTAATATAAATTAATAAAAATATATTAAAAATAAAAATTTAAAAATAATTTAAATAAATAATACATATTTTAAAATTTAAAATTAATTAAAAAAATAAATTTATTAATAAATTATAAATAAATTATAAATAAATTATAAATAAATTATATTAAATTTTATTGATATTTTTTATTTAAAAAAAAAGTGGAATAAAAATATTAATATAATTATATAAATAAATAATATAATAATAATTAATATATAATAATAAAATTAAATTTAAAATATATTTAATATAAATATTTATTAATAAATATTAAATTAAAATTATTTAATTTAATTAATATAAATTAATAAAAATATATTAAAAAAATAAAAATTTAAAAATAATTTAAATAAATAATACATATTTTTTAAAATTTAAAATTAATTAAAAAAAATAAATTTATTAATAAATTATTAATAAATTATAAATAAATTATAAATAAATTATATTAAATTTTATTGATATTTTTTTATTTAAAAAAAAGTGGAATAAAAATATTAATATATTTATATAAATAAATAATATAATAATAATTAATATATAATAATAAAAATTAAATTTAAAAATATATTTAATATAAATATTTATTAATAAATATTAATTTAAAATTATTTAATTTAATTAATATAAATTAATAAAAAATATATTAAAAATAAAAATATTTAAAATAATTTAAATAAATAATACATATTTTAAAATTTAAAATTAATTAAAAAAAATAAATTTATTAATAAATTATAAATAAATTATAAATAAATTATAAATAAATTATATTTAATTTTATTTATATTTTTATTTAAAAAAAAAGTGGAATAAAAATATTAATATAATTATATAAATAAATAATATAATAATAATTAATATATAATAATAAAATTAAATTTAAAATATATTTAATATAAATATTTATTAATAAATATTAAATTAAAAATATTTAATTTTATTAATATAAATTAATAAAAAATATATTAAAAAATAAAAATATAAAAATAATTTAAATAAATAATACATATTTTAAAATTTAAAATTAATTAAAAAAAATAAATTTATTAAATTAAATTTAAGACGGTATGGCCGAGTGGTTAAGGTGGTTGACTGCTAATCAATTTCCCTCTGGGAGCGCGAGTTCGAATCTCGTTGCCGTCATTTAATTTTTTTTTAATTTTATTTTATTTTTATTTTTTATTTTTTTTTTAAATTAAAATTAAAATTAAAATAAAAGTTAAAAAGAATTTATTATTTGTTTATTAATCTTGTGTAAGAAAAAGAAAAAGAAAAAGAAAAAGAAAATTGTTTTCTTTTTTGTGTTTTGTTTTTTGTAAAAAAAAGAAATTAAAAGTTGGACTCAAAAAAAAAAAGGAACGAACGAATGAATGAAAGAAAGCAAAAAGAAGAAAGGAAAGATTTTGATAGGAAAGCAAAAGAAAATCTCTAAAAAAAAGGAGAATTAAATCATTCTTTTAACGAGTTTATTAATATATTCTTCTCTGTTTCCAGCATCACCACCTTCAATAAAATTTCTTTTGATATAAGATAATCCACCTCTAGCAGTATTTAATTTAAAAGGCCATAAGAAATTGTTAGCGTATTTAAAATTAGGGCCAACAGTGTAAATTTCATGAACAATATCTTCCACAGAAACTATGTTTTTTTTGCCAAGTCTTTTTGCAATAATTTCGTTAGTTAATAATGGAATTCTTTGTGAACGAATTTTTCCATATCCTCGTTTGTAAATAAGTTTTCTAATTGTTCCTAATGTTGGATATCCCCATGCTATATATGGTGCAACAAAATGAAGCATTCTAAGTGAAGTTTTATTCAATTTAATAAAAACAGCGTTATTGATTTGTCTTAATCGCATTAATTGAAGGATTTTTCTTTGTCTTGGAGCAACACCAGTAATTCTAAATTATTTAATTATTTATTATTTAATTATTTATTATTTAAATATTTATTATTTATTATTTAATTATTTATTATTTAAATATTTATATTTATTAAATATTTATTATTTATTAAATATTTATTAAATATTTATTATTTAAATATTTATATTTATATTTATATTTATATTTATATTTATATTTATATTTATATTTATATTTATATTTATATTTATATTTATATTTATATTTATATATTTATATTTATATTTATATTTATATTTATATTTATATTTATATTTATATTTATATTTATATTTATATTTATATTTATATTTAGATTTAGATTTATATTTATATTTATATTTATATTTATTTTTATATTTATATTTATTTTTATATTTATATTTATTTATTAAATATTTATTAAATATTTATATTTATTAAATACTTATATTTATATTTATATTTATATTTATATTTATATTTATATTTATTGAATATTTATTATTTATATTTATATTATTTATTAAATATTTATTATTTATTAAATATTTATATTTATATTTATATTATTTATATTATTATTTATTACCCTTTAATTCTAATAACAAGCGCAAGCTTTGGTTCAGGTTCTACATATATATTTCCTTCAGCTTTGGCTGCTCTTCTTTTTTCAACTAAATCTCTTTCCATTTTCTTATATTCTTCTTCATACTTTGCAGCATTATCATGAGCTAATTGTCTGTTTTTTTTTTGTCTTTCAATTTGTTGTTCTCTTTTTTTTTGTCTTTCTTGCTTAATTTTTTCAATTTGTTCTTTCTTTTTTTTCAAAGTTTCTGGGATAATTTTTTGCCTTTTTTGTTTAAATTAAAATATAAATTGAAAATTAAAATATAAATTGAAAATTAAAATATAAATTGAAAATTAATTGTAAATTTATGCATAAAATTAAATTATTTGAATATTTTACTCTTCTTTTGGTTGATTATCTTGCATCTTGTTTTTTATATTTTTGTTTTTGTTTTTGTTTTTTTTGTTTTTTTTTTTGTTTAATTTAGAAAGAATAGAAAGAAAAAAAATGAAAAAAATTTTAAAAAAAAAAATTTTTTTTCTTTTTTTTTTTAATTAAATTAAATTAAAAGAAGAAAAATTTTAATAATTTTTTTTTTCTCCTTTTTTATTTAATTAAAAAAAGAAAAAAATCAATTAAAAAAAATCAATTAAAAAAATCATTGAACGAAAATCCGTTTAACTTTTTCAATTCCATCAATATAATTTTGAGATTTCTTTGCTTCTCTAAGTAATTTTGAAAGAATAGATTGAGTTCCAATTGTATGATAAATTTTTGCAATTGAAATATATTCAGCACCAGCATTATTTTCGACAAACTTAGTATATAAAATATGGAGTCTGACAAAGAAATGTTTTTTAATAAACATTTCGGAAATCAATTCAACGTCTTTCTTAAGACTTCTGACCGCGTCTTTCATGTAAGAACGAGCGGGTTGTTTTCCTTTTTTTAATCTTTGCTTTTCAATTGTATTCATTAATAAAAGTTTGGATAAATAAAATAACGAGTTTGGCAACACCATTGAGCGTGATTGCTCAGTGGATTTTTTTCCCAAAGCTTTTGTCAAAAAAGTGGGCAAATTCTCCTTTTCAATTAAAAACTGACAGAATCCAAAATGATAATAAATCATTTGATAAAAGGTTTTCCAACAATTTCGGTTAAAAGCAAAATTGGACTCATCAAAACACAAATCTTGCAAAACAGTCACGAACTGAAGATCCTGTGAGACAAGCTTGAAAACTTCGTGGTTCTTCATCAAGCTGCGCAAACAATCCATAATGTGCGATTTGAACTGATAATCTCTTTCTGAAGATTTTCTTAAGAAACTTTGAATCAATTGAAATTGTTTCAAGTCAATTTTCAATGAGTCTTGAATCATCTCCTTATTGTCGCCTTTCCCGCTTTTTTTCTTTGATATTTTCTGTGTTTTTTCGCCGTCCTCTGTCGTGATCAAGTTCAAATTGATCAAGCATTTGAGCATTGAAGAAAGAAAAAATCCAACGCAATTAATTCCAGTTGAAACATTCAACTGTTTTGAACTCAAATAAGAATCAATTTTGCTTGTGATCTCGTGGTATAGCGATTCCGAGAAAAGAACAACCTGTTTCACCGAAATCAGCTGTTGATTCACCGTGATGTTCTCATAGATAAACTTGCCAAATCCTGCGCTGAGAACCGCTATATATGGCGGTTGTGGAATGATATTTTCTTTTGTAATTTCCACTTGTTTTTGGTTCTGTTTCTTTGCATGAATTTCCACTTGTTTTTTCTTCTCAACTTCTTGATCCGTTATTTCATGCTCAATATTTTCATTATTTACTGCGATTTGCACCTTTTTTTCTGCCCGTTTTTCAGATACTTTCACAAATAAATCATCCGTTATATTTTGAACAGCTCCTCCATAATTTGTGGCAAAAAAATCAAGATGTTTTTCCTGTCGCATCAAGTTCCACATAAATCTCGAGTGCATTTGCGAGTGGAGAAACTTGGATCCGCCAAGATTTCTCAATCTAAACACCATGTTTACTGATGTTGATCTCAATATCCGGAAAAGTTCAGAACTTTCTAAATAAAGTAGTTGTATTGTTACAAACAGAAAATATCCTGATAATAAAGACGACCGGCTTGATATTCCTTTGAAAATGTCTTTCTCAATAATGTTCGGAAATTCTTCTAATAAATTGATTAAGAATACAAATGATTTTTGAAGTTCTCGTTCCAAATACAGTGAGATCACTTGTTGATCAAGGATTTGTTTGAGGATTTTCAAATAGTAATACATACTGACAAAGTTTGCAAATTCAAACATTTTTGTTTCTGCTCCAAATTTCTTTTCAAAATTAAAATTCATTTATAAAATTGAAATTAAAATCAAAATTTGAATTAAAATTCAAATTCATTTATAAAATTAAAAATAAAAATAAAATTAAAATTAAAATTAAAATTAAAATTAAAATTTAAAATTAAAATTAAAATTTAAATTTATAAAATTAAAATCAAAATTTAAATTTATAAAATTAAACTTACAACTTTCACTAATGAAATCAATTCTTCATTAAAAGGAAATATATCTACTCTCTTATCATTGAACATTGATACAATATTTGTAATTTGATAAACTCTACTGATGTTTTGTTCTGAAATCAATGGTTCTAAATAAGATTTCCCATTTTTGGAAAGTAATAAAGATGTAATAAAACTAGATATTTTTGATTGTGTTAAAAGTGATTTTGAATTTTCTGCTTCATCAAGTAATTCAATAAAATGTTCGGGTGTAACAACTGTTTGGAAAAATTCTAAATAAGTCATTTTGTTTTGTGATTTTTGTTCAGGAATATTTTTAGAAAGCATTCTTTGGAAAAGATCTAATAACTTAAATTTTAATAAAAATTTTAAAAAAGAAATTAAAATTTTTATTTTGAAATGATAAATAAAATAATTTTTTTTTACTTGTGGAAGTGATAAAATTTGGAAAAATTCTTTAATTGTAAAAGGATTTGAATTTTTAACAATATCTTGAATTTTTTCCAATAATTCATCGTTCATCTAAAATTTAAATATAAATATAAATATAAAAATATAAAATTATAATTATAATTAAAATTCATTTATAAAATTAAATATAAATACAGTTGGTGGTCTTATTGAAATTGCCCAACCAGATTGTAAATGATCAAATTGTGCAAAAAACCCCAATTTATGGATTTGTTTTCTTAAATCATCCAAATATTTTTCATTTTTTGTAACTTTTGTCCAATCAATAACCTCCTTGACATCATAAGCAGGAATATCAAATTGAACTGATTTTCCTTGAATATTATTTGAACAATTCTTTCTTGAATTTTCTTTAATTTCACTTCTTGTAAGAAAAACGGATAAATTAACAGCAGGAACTTTTGTAAGTTTAGTTAAATCATTTGGATTAATTTCTGTAGATATATCAAGTGTTGTTCCATAACCCTTATTTTTATATTTAATATTTAATATTTATTTAATATTTAATATTTATTTAATATTTATTTATTTATTATTTATTTAATATTTATTTAATATTTATTTAATATTTATTTAATATTTATTTAATATTTATTTAATATTTATTTAATATTTATTTAATATTTATTTAATATTTATTTAATATTTTTATTTAATATTTATTATTTAATATTTAATATTTATTTAATATTTTT